GTGCCGCTTCGTGACGGGCCTGCGCGTGCGGCGCGCGCAGCAGATCGCGCAGCTCTACGGCCGCCTCTACTCGGAGAGCTCCCGCCGCGTCCTCCTCGGCCGCCTCTGGCGCCGGCTGCGCGGCCGCCCGGGCCATGCTTCTGCCTTGATGGCGGCGCTCGCCGGCGTCTTCGTGTGGGACGAGGAGAGGATCCAGGAGGAGGAGTTGCAGAGGTGGGCGTGGGGCGAGCGCCTTCCTGTTCCCCGGGGTGGGGGCCGATCGGCTGGGGAGGCTGGGATGTTGGACCCTGGGGCCTGCCTTTGCGGCGGGGTCTCCCGCTTACCCGGTGGGCCTGGAAGTGGCGATGCGCTAGTTGATCCTGTTCAGCAGACCAGGTTTTTTATTGCCTCTATGTGTTATTTTGATTTGTCGGGTTAGACATAACTGGAAGTGTAGGTTAGTGTAAGAGGGAGACTTTGAATGGGGAGCATGACACTACAGAAATAACATTGTGAAAAATGAATAAGATGTTGAAGGCACGTAGGCCATTATTCAGGTAATCTGTACCACAGCCAGAAAGGTGCAAATTCAAAACGGGTTTTAAACGTGACCTACGGGTGTAGTTATGCAATTTAAAAAATTACTTCATTCCAAATGGGACTTGGTGAGAAATACCAGGGGAGCTCTCGTCATTGTGACTCCTGTGGCAGAATTGTGAGGCTGCAAGGGATTATGACCTTCTCCTTCAAACCAGTAGCCCAGACAGTTTAACCTGTAAGAATTAGGTCAGTTTTTTGCTACTTTAATTAGAACTTTGGGGGTACTTTTTCATTAGGCTCTGAAATCACGCTGTCATCATCAAAACTTATGTGTGAAAAGTGCAGTACCGTTGATTGAATTTGTTTATCTGTGGTTCTAAATCTGAGCCCTTACCAAGTAATCTCATGGGGAAACCTTGCTTTACTCCTTCTTTATATTGACCCTGTATTTTCTTTTTAACAGATATTCTTAAACTGTGCTCGCTCTCCACACAAACACGCCCTGCCCCCTAAACTCCTGAAACTGTGATTTCAGGAACCTAAGACAGTCCCCTCTCCCTGAGAAATCCCATGCAAATCTGTTTATTCTAGATATTTCTTCTGTTATTCCATATTTTTGGTTAGGTTAAAAGTAGAAATACTTCAGTGAAGTTAACACTGTGACTTATTTGGCAGTGTAGCACCCGGATGCCAGGCAGCTATTTGTGCAACACTGTGAATTGTGGGTAAATGCAAGTTTATCTTAAGAACTGGAAATAACTATTCCTAGCAGAAAAGAGGACTGTTTTATAAATGCAATTTAAAATCTTAATCACAAACAACCTTACTCACAAAAACGTGAAAATATCAAAGCATAATACGTAGTTTGCCTAGTTTCTGTTAGCATTATTTTGCTACTTGTTCATTTGTTCTAGTAAAACAATCTCAGGTGTGAGAAATAAAAGAATTTTTGGGAGGAAAACTTTTAAATCGAGAAATTATCAAGTACTAACTGTTTGAATTTTCACTCTGTTTTGGACGATGAAATACCCAGTTTCCACAGTGGGGAAGTTTGAGGGGAAAATTCCCGGCTGGATCTGTTTGGGGAAGAGGAGAAAGACCAGAAAAGGGCTTCTGGGTGCAAAAGAGAGGGAAGACATTTTGGGGGTGGGAGTAGTGTTGAATAGTGTTGAGGCCTAAGTGGTGGATGACATTTTCTGGCTTACTTCATATGTTTTTATGGACAGTATGACCTGGAGCCTGTGTTTAGTAGGTCTCCCATTTGCAGGAGCTAGAGGGGAAAACAAGATAGGAAATGAACGTGGCAAATATTTGAGTCAGTAGTCACTACCCACTGCTGGCAGAAAGAGATCAGACCAGTTGATGAACTGGCCCAATATCCATTCTGTTTCCCTCTCTTTGGGCTGTCTCTGAACCCTGGGGGCAGTTGAAACACTCTTGGTTCTAATCCAAGTCCTAGAGAGGTGTTGCTCTGGGTTAATCTGCTTGGGAATTTCAGAAGCTTAGATGAAGTCCAGTCAGAAACCCTAAGGTGCCTTTTTTGACCCTCCCCAGGGTTGTTACAGTGAAGGCCCTCATTTAACACTTCATTGTCCAGTTCATGCTTGAAATCAGTCATATGCATGAAATTTCATCAAGTTGTCCGTTTTGAGGATTTTTAAGAAAATATTTGTTATCTTGATAGGGAGACAAATAATGTGCTGTTCAACTGTATCTTGGTTGTACAGTGGTTCCATAGGTCTTTGTTCTGTTAGTTTGTCATGTATATATTTTATTGAATAAAATATTCTGAGTACAGGTTAAGTTTTTTTGCTTGGTGTTTAAGTATTTGCTTTAAAGGAGGCACTGCTGAAGTGTCATAGCTAGCTTATTAGAACATCTTAGAGTTTGTTTATTCCAGTGAGATGATTTTGGGTGCCTTCCATAGTGGAGCACAGTTGAGTGTGCCTCGGGACAAGTGCATTTCTTGTTCATGAAAGAAGAGCATGATTGTCCCATGGCCCCTAAATCACAGCCTTTGGCTCTTCTGTGCTATTTCTGTACCAACTTGTGCTGGTACAAGCGAATTCTGATTTTGCTGTCTTGGTTAAACAGTGATGGGGTGTGCGGGATATCTCTTTGAATGTATGCTTTAAAGTGGCATGTATTTTTTATGTTATTTCAGTTTCTATTCAGAATGAAAAAGAATAACCTTGCTTTATGTTCTCTTGTGCTTAAGAACATCTTAACAAATAGGATCTCATTCATCTAGCCACAGCAAGAAAATTTGAGAAAAGAAATAACTTTTGCACAAAGTGACTTTGACTCACTGATGGGACCAGGTGTAGAAATCAGGTCTTTTAATGCTTGGTCTAGTATTCTTAACCAATTGACTTCAATTAAACAATCAGACAAAATGACTTTCAGTCACTATTCTTGGTGCTAGCTGGCATTCTGTGAGCTCGGGGCAAATCTTATGGAAAAATATAGTAGTAATTTTTGATTGCTTTGGAACATTAAAAAAAAAATTACAGGAACAAAAAGAGGAAGGAAGTTAAGAAATATTAAAGGCTAGGGGAAAATGTTCTATTAACCTCCCCTCTTTTTTATAAAGTCACAGTTCATTGCTCTAGAAATTTGCGTAAATAAAGTGCCAGTCAAGTTTCATAAAGAAAATTGGCCATTTTCCCATTTCTGTCGTCCAGGGCATTCAGAATACTTGTAACTTTCATTACGCTATTAACTAGATAAATGATCAACAAAAAGTCCTTTTGGCATAAAGGAACTTTTTTTTTTCCCCACTGTCACTTGACGGTATTTTACTGATATACCCTTCTTAGATCATCGGAACTGCATCAAAGCTGACTTGAGTTTTTTGATATTGTCTTCGTTATTTTACCATTAACCAGTTGGCCAAGAATTGCAATGAGCTAGTTTGATGTCTTTTATTTCTAGCTGTGTCCCATAACAGTTGTACTTGAAAGTCTCTAACTTTGACAATAATTTGGAATTTGAGGAGAGGACTATGTGAAATGAGGCAGTTGTCTTACAGAAATTACTAAGTACAGGGATGGCTTCATTTGAATCATTTTGGAGCCTTATATCAGGCTCTACACTGAGGGCAGGACCCATAGATGAGCCAAACGTGGTTATACGTCTTATTCTGTTCTCATGGTTTTATGGCTTCAGCTTCCGTAGATCCTCAGTCCAGCCTTTCTCAGATATTGAAATAACTTTAATTTTGGAGAAAGGGATGCATTGACTGTCTTTCCTTGATCCTCTTACTAATCTGCTGGTTCTGTTACTATTTTAGGAATAATCTCCTTTGTCCTCTCCTCTCTTCTTATTACTAGTTTAAGACTTAGATAACAAGATAACAAGGTTTAGACACCCATCCCATCCAAACAAGATTTGGCACAGCAATCTAAAGAGATATATGGTGAGGTGTTTTTCCTTCCTCCACACATATGCTAGTGAGTGACTTTGGGTACCTGTGTGGTGATTATGTCTGACATGTCAGCTTTTAGAAGTTGAGACCGTTCAGAGATTCTTGAACCTGGGGACATAGCAGTCATTACATTTTCATGATGCAGTCTTGCTCCAGCATTCATATTGTGCTGTTCAAAGAATGAATGTCATCACTTCATAAGACATTTCTCTCCCCTTCTAGGGACTTAGTTTCATAATTTTAACAAGGCCACCTAGTGACTTTTAATTATATAGGAGAGGCTGATTAAGCAATGAGTCAGGAGCTCTGTACCACCTTGAGTCTTAGAAGGCCATAAAAAATATTGCCTACTAGGTAATTTTATGAGCCTCTGATGTACTTTTAATAAGACATTCCTGCCCCTCTTCATTATATGATAAGAATGACATTCAAGGGCCCGCCTGGTGGTGTAGTGGTTAACTGTGCGCACTCCGCTGAGGCTGTTTGGGGTTTGGATCTCAGGCGTGTACGGACGCACTGCTTGTCAAGCCATGCTGTGGTGGTGTCCTATATAAAGTAGAGGAAATCTTGGGCCGGCCCCGTGGCGTAGCGGTTAAGTGCGCACGCTCCACTACTGGCTTCGGATCCCGGGTGTGCACCGACGTGCCGCTTCTCCGGCCATGCTGAGGCCGCGTCCCACATACAGCAACTAGAAGGATGTGCAGCTATGACAGACAACTGTCTACTGGAGCTTTGGGGGAAAAATAAAATAAAGTAGAGGAAGATGGGTGTGGATGTTAGCCCAGGGCCAATCTTCCTCAGCAAAAAGAGGAGGATTGGCGACAGATGTTAGCTCAGGGCTAGTCTTCCTCACACACACACACAAAAAAGTGACATTCAAGAGTGGTGCTTAATTTTTATTGAAGGATGTTTACTAGTCCTGAAAAGTGCCGTAATTGGTGCGTTGTGATGCCGGAATTGTTCTCTGAGCAAGTCTAGCTGTGGTTTTGGTTTTACTTTTTTTTTTTCAATTATTTTATTGAGGTCATATTGGCTTATAACATTGTGTAAATTTTGGGTTTACTTATTATATTTCAGTTTCTGTGTAGATTGCATTGTGTTCAGCACCAATAGTCTAATTTTTATTTATTTATTTTTCCCCAAAGCCCCAGTAGATAGTTGTATGTCACAGTTGCACATCCTTCTAGTTGCTGTATGTGGGACGCGGCCTCAGCATGGCCAGAGAAGCGGTGTGTCGGTGCGCGCCCAGGATCTGAACCCAGGCCGC